ACAAATACTGCTACCACTTAATACATGTTTGGAGTTGTATATATTATAAGAACTATGGGAAAATATATATATATGAAAGAAAACTCAAGCAAAAATACCAAAATGTGAGAAAGTGGTGGTTTCAAAGTGGTGAGATTATAAATAACTTTTTATCCTATATTTTAATTTTCCAAAATTAACCTATATTTTTTTAAAGCAAACATTCTTGGGCCTCCTCCTAAGGATGGACCTCCCTCTGAGGCAGTTACAACCACAGCAGAGAGTACTCATTGCTTGAGGCATCGTGAGTTGTTTTATTCAACATACACTGATATCCACTATATTCTCAGGATTAGGGAAGTTCAGATATGACTCACTTATTTGCCGGCATTAGATCCAAACAAGTTTTGGCTATTTTCACACATCAAATGCCCCTTTCAAGGACAATTCCTGTTGACTGAGGGCATTTTATGTGGCATATACTGTGCTAGTGTTAAGAGGGAACATCTACTAAAAGGATAGCATGTATCACTAAGTATCCACCAACAGTTTAAATGCACATGGCTTTGATCCAGCTAGTCCTCTATCATACAGAAATACTTGCACATGTACACCAAGACTCACGGTAGCCCTGATATACAAGAAAAAATGGGAAACAAAATCTTACGGAAATCATTAAATAAATTATGGTACGTGTGTATGATAAAATACTATGCAGTAGTTAAAATGAATAAGATAGTTCTATAGTGTTGATATGGAAAATATCTAGCACATATTGTTAAGTAACAAGAGAAAGCTACAGAATAAACCCAACAACTACTATGTGAATATTCACCCAGCAAATATCTGAGTGTGTACCACGCGCCAGGTATCACTCCAGGGCCTGAGAAGACAGCCGTGACCAAGCCAATCCCTGGCCTCTGGGAGCTGACATTCGAAAGAGGAAGGGACAAGCGCAGACACACAATTTCAGCTTAGAGTATGTACCCAGGGTAATGGGGCAGAATAACTGGGAGGGGACGATGGCCACTTTAGCTGCAGCAGTCAAGGATGGCCTCTTTGAGAAGGTGACACTGAAGGTGCTCAGAGCTGAAGGTTGAAAATGATGTGGCCATGCAAAGAACTGGAGGAGAAACTTTCCAAGAGGATATAATAGGAACAGAGGCCATAAGGCCAGAAATAAGCTTGACATGTCCACGGGGCAGAAAATAAGCCAGTGCGCCCAGAGCAGGCAAGAAGAGGTCCGGAGGCGGCAGAGCCAGGCTGTGACGATGGCCTTGCAGGCCTGGCCGGGCTGGGCTTTACTTCGGTGCAAGAGGAAGCCGAGAGAGATTTAAGAAGGGACTAACATCACCAGAATTTGGTTTAAAAATATCACTCTGCTGCTGCGTGGAACACATAAATTACAAATCTCGATATAAATATGTATGTAAATGCATTTTAAAAGGTGTGGAAGCATACACCCCAAATCGTCTTCTAGGGCCAAAAGGGTGGGAGGGAGGGGGATGTATGCAGAGAGAGGGGAAAATGGGCAACTCACATTTTCACATATCTTCACACTGTTTGAGTTTTTCATAAGGATATAGTCGTGTATCACTGAATAACAAAAACAAGATTAGTCACCACTGAAGTCACCACCAAGCAAGCTCTCCAGGCTGCGAGGCAATGCTCAGAGCTCCTGGAGTAAGGACACGCATGCCAGGGAGACGTCTGAGGAGGGTCCCTCAGGTGGGCAGAGGAGGTCTTGGCTCACACTGTTTCCCTCCTACCTGAAACCCCCTTGCCTCTCCACCTGGCAGATTCCTTTTCATTCTTCAAGATGACAGCTCCAGTGTCACTGCCTCCCCGGGGAGGATCAGCCCCTGCCCGTCTGCACCCCCATGCTCCACTCGCACATCCATCGCAGCACTTTTAGAACTGTGTCCTAGTCACTCGTTCACCAGTGAACTCTGAAGGCAAGAACCCTCTCTTATCTCCTTCTGCATCCACAGACCTGGTACAAGGCCTAGCATGTAGCAGGTGCATGACAGATATTCATCAAGTTACATGTGAAACCTTGGTCTCTGTCTACTTCAGCACTAGACACACAGCCACCCACTTAGTTACTGACTAGACCCCACTCTTTGTCCCAACTTTGGGCACCGACTGACCTTAAGAATCTTCTACCCAGTTAAACGCCAAAATGGAGGTAAAGGACCAATGGTATGGTTTAGACTTGCATTTCCCAGACTGGAATTTCTGCAAGTGTGTTAATAGAGAAGCTGTGAAAAGCGTGTTCCAGGCTAGAACACATTTGAAGGAAGCTGCATCCTCTGGTACGCCAGCGAAGAGCCACAGTGCACATCAGCAAACTGAAAGCTCTGAACAGTCCTAGGGTGGAGAAACCTTCTTCACGCAATGTTCCCCATGCTGCTTTGGTTAAAGACCGCCTTTCTTGTTGCAAATCGATTAAATCCTGCAGAGTAACAGCAGCAGCAGCTAGCATCTACTGTGCACCTACTCTGTGTCAGGTGTTATCTGAGGACTTTCTCATTATCCTCGTCTTACAGATGAAGAAACCGAGACCCAGAAAGCTTAATAACTTGCCCAACTGCTGAAAGTTAGATGCTAGAGAAGCCCAGATATGAACCTGAGCAGTCTAACTCCAGTTAAGACTGAACCTTAACCACTATGCTATCCAGCTCCCCAGAATACAGTCAGGTGAATGTGGTCCAGGAAATGCGGATCCAGACAAGAACAGAGTTTTTAAAACCTTCAGTGCAACTACACATACTCTTTGCCTCTCCAGACTCTTGCTACAGATGGAAGAAGTTATACAACAATACTCCACTACAAATCAAATTCAAATCCTAAACCAGAATAAAATATACTATTCTGCAGGACCTGGACTCAAGTCTAAAGATAAATTACCAACCAAACAAGTCTACAATTTAACCCAAACTCTAAGTATTTTGCGTCTCTCTGATGCCTTTTTATTGCGTTAGAACTTTGAAAGCTGACGACTTTTGGAGGCATTTATATGGCACAGTTAAGGCCAAATCACACCTTATGTTTGATTTGTCATTCAGCTTGCTAAATATAAGCAAATTTGTGATGAATAAAAGTTATACAAGCCTAGAAATAAATCCTAACATTTACGGTTAATTGACTTTTGACAAGGAAGCCAAGACAACTCAATGGAGGAAAGAACCTTTTCAACAAATGGTTCTGAGACAACTGGATATCCACATGCAAAAGAATGAAGTGGGACCCCTTCCTTACACTATATACAAAAATCAACTCAAACAGATCAAGACCTAAATGTAAGACTTAAAACTATAAAACTCTTAGAATAAAACATAGGAGCAAATTTTTGTGACCTTGGATTAGGAAACAATCCTTAGATATGACAGCAAAAACACAATGACAAAAGAAAAAAATAAATAAATTGAACTATATCAAATAAAAACTTTGGGTTTCAAAGGATACCATCAAGAAAGTAAGACAACAATGCACAGAATGAGGGAATATATTTGCAAATCATGTATTTGATAAGTGACTTGCTATCTAGAATATATAAAGAACTCGTACAAGTTAACAATAAAAAAAGACAAATAACCCAATTGAAAAAAATTAAGTGAAGGATCTAAATAAAGATTTCTTCAAAAAAGATATACAAATGGCTAATAAGCATGCAGAAAGATGGTCAACATTATTAGCCATCAGAGAAATGCAAATCAAAACCATGATGAGATGCCATTTCACACCCACCGGAGGGCTAGAATAAAAAAGACCATAATGAGTGCTAGCGAGGATGTGGAGAAGTTGGAACCCTCATACATCGCTAATGGTAATGTACAATGGTGCAGTAGCTTTGGAAAACAGTTTGGCAGTCTTCAAAGTGTTAAAGATGGATTTACCATACGACCCAGCAACTCCACTCCTAGGTACATACTAGAGGTATACACTCCTAAGAGAAATGAAAACACACAACCACAAAAAAACTTGCACATGAATGTTCACAGCAGTATTAACATCTAAAAAGTAGAAACAATCCAAATGTCTATGAACTAATGAATGGATGAACAAAATGTGGCATATCCTTACAATGGAATATTATTCAGCAATGAAAAGGAATGAAGTACTGATTCATGCTACATGGATGAACCCTGGAATATTCTGCTGAGTGAAAGAAGCCAGTCACGAAAGACCACATATTGTATGAAACATATATGAAATGTCCAGAATAGGCAAATCTACAGAGACATAAGGTAGACAGTGGTCGCCAAGGGCTTCAGGGGGAGGGCAGGAATGGGTAGTGACTGCTAATGGGTATAGAGTTTCTTTTGGGGGTGAGGAAATTGACCATGGTGATGGTTGCATAACTCTGTGAACATCCTAAAAACCAATGAATCGTACACTTTAAATGGGTGTATGGTATGTGAGTCGTATCTCAATATAGCTACTTTAAAAAAAGTCTTCAGGGAAGCACATCGGGTGTACCTGCTAATGGAATTCAGCGGATGGTGTGCAATGGCTATGGAGTGGGGGCTTCAGCTGCAGAACCAATCATTTCACCAGAACAAAACAGTACTCCTCCTGCCTCCTTAACCAGCCTTCTCATTAGGTCTCCTGCTGTACCTCTTCAAACACCTTAACTTTTTCTTTCCAGCACTTATCACAATCCGTAAGTATCTTCTTTGTGATTCTTTGTGCAACGTCTGCTCTTGGCTGCACTGCAGGCTCCAGGAGAGCAAGGACCACGTTGTGTTCGCTCTGTGTCACTGGTGCTCAGCAGAATCTAATAGTCAGTTCTCAGCTATTAGCTGAACAAATGAACTCTGAACATCCTGTGAAGCAGGTCAAATTAGACTCAGTATTTTCTCAAGTTACTGGATCAGTGACGACGAAACAAGCATGGCCCTGCGCAGAGGGCGAGGAGAGAGAAGGGAGGGAGAGAGAAGGAGCGGGCAGAAGCAAAAGAGAAGGGGAGGTGATGGCAGAGAAGAGGCAGACGCTGGTGGGGGGGGAGACAAACTTACTTTTCTAGGTTGGCCATCTGCTTCACAGCTTCCACAGCCCCTGGTAGAGGCTCAAGGTCAAAAAAGAAATTCTCCGACTCCCATATGCTGATGGCCTTCTCCTGCGAAGACGAGAGAAGCAGGTGACTTCCAGGGTCCTCAGCACCCCGCTTCACTGCACAGGGGGTGTCGTGGCTGGGAAGGGCTGCTCACAAGAAGGTGGGCCTTCCACGTCCCCTCACCACCACCCCACGCACACTCCCAAGGATGTATTTCCTGGGTGGAGGCGGAGGGTCACACAGAGTGTGTGCGCGTTCCAGCCCCTCTCCAGGAGGATCTGACTTCTGCAAGGATCTGGCAGAGACCAGCTAAGGGGTCAGGGGCTGTGAATTCCAAAGCATGCTCTGCTGGAGGGACTGCTGGACCCATTTAAGGCAGAAGGCCAGTCCTCAGGAACCTCACGTTTGCTTGATTCTAGCAGCCAGAGACACCCTGGAGGCTCTGAGGATGGCCCAGGTCTCGCCATAGCACCAGAGTCCTTAAATTCTAGAGCTGGAGAAATGCAGAGATCCTCAAGAGCACTGCTGTGCCCTGCGGAACAAAGCAGGTGCAGGTAGAAGGCCAGCTGGTCAGAGCTCCAGGCTCCTCACCCACATCAGCCAGAACAGCTCTTTCATCTGTTTCACGCATTGAGATACCAATAAATACTTTGTTTAAAAAAAGTATTCTGCTGTTTTTCAACTTTGCAAGCCAAAAATCCAGACCCTCACCTTACATATAAGAAAACCAAGGTTCAGAATGAGGATTTACTTCATGTCACATGGCAAAACGGTGGCCAAACTGGGAGTAGATCCCCATCTCCCAACTCCCAGGCCAGGAGTTTCCACCTCATGCTGCCACACCAAAATCAAGTTTGCAGAATGCCACACCATTCCAGGGCCAGGACAAGGGGAAAAGGACAATGGGAGGGAAGACAAATCCCCGCCTCCGAGAAGTAGAAACCTAAAGCCCACGTGTGCCGTGCAGGAAGCCCCTCTGCCAGGTCGGAAGCTGCTCCAGCACAAGCGCCCCCTATGCCACTCGTGTGGGGGGAGTACACTGAGATCACACCGGCAACACGCTTGTGAATATACGGGGTTAAGCAAATCAGGGCTCATCGCTCATCTACAGTATCAAGGTGACACTGTCAGAACTCGAACTTGGAGCTTCTGACTCTCACGGAGGCGATGTGGAGTGCTGGACAGTATGCTGGACGCTGGAGTCAGAAGGACTGGCCCCCGCCGTGTGACCCTGGGCTAACCACCCGACCTCAGGGATCAGCGTCCAGCGTCCCCTCCCTCCCTCCTTCACTAACCTGCTCTGAAACCCTAGCCAAGACACTTCTTCTCTCTGGGCTGAGTCCCTCAACTGCTCTAACAGGGTAAGATTCTAAGTCAGTTAAAACAATCTTTGCCTTCCACCTCTGCCCTGCTTACCTCTCGGAGCACTATGAAGATCAAAGGGACCAGGAAAGAGTGGTATTTTGTAAAACAGAAATGACTACATATATAAGCGGGGTTGGCCAGTTGGTTATTTTTAACAGCAGATGCTGGGCCAGCTGGGCCAAGGGGAGACCCAGGATGTCCTGCTGTGAGCTGTGCTGGGGATGAAGGGCATGTGCTCATCTATTACAATCCCGTTTCCTGCAATGTTCCCAGAAGCATAAGAAATGAGCAGGTCACTCCCAGAGCACGCCCTCCCTGGAGCCCCAGGAGCTCTGCTCCTTTGCCTTCTACTTGGAAAACAGTAACTCATCTCCTTAGACTTGGAATCTGCACATCTGTGCAATGGACTGGAAAAGCTGCTGTCCTTTTCAGAGTGGGGGTGGGCTTAGTTTCCTCACCCCAACACAGTTCTGGGAGGAAATAAGGTGCCCAGACTGCCAAGACTGCTCACTGTCTATAAAGGACACACACACAGCAGAGCAGTATGTCATCGAGGCTGCAAACATCACTCGGGTATTCTCTCCAGTGTAAAGCTGCCAATTAGGTGTTAGGCCTGGGAGGAGTCAGTATACCGGGCTCTGGGGAAGTCACTCTCTGCAGTGCCTGGTGTTAATGAAGAGAAACGGCACTTGATTTCCCTTCTAACACCTGCCCCTCAACAAACCAAATTATTGTCAAGGTGCCTTGCATAAGTCAAAAGAAATGTCACTCGTTAGAGCGGGACAGAGGACAGGACTTCGGGGTGGGGAAAGCTAAATGTGCTTGGGAGGCAGAAAGACTTGAGTCTGACTCCTGGCTGAGCCCCTTAGCAGCCATGTGACTGAGGACAAGTTTCCTCACCCACATAACGGAGATAAGAACATCTTCCTCACAGCGGAGATAATGCAACCCATGCTTACAAAACAGGCTCTAACACCATCATCATCAGATCCTCTGGCAGTGACTTTAGGTGGCCAATGGAGGGATGCCAAAAGACACCCAGCCTCTTTAAGTTTGTGCATGGCAAGATCCCCTGAACAGGGAAAGGAACCTTTCACAAAATAGTTTAAATTTACAACCAAGCTGTCTGTCCGTAGACCTGCCTGGATACTTGCCCACATCCAGCATGGCCTCAGAGAGCAGAGCACAGCGGGAGTCAGGCGGGTGTGGTGAGCTCAGGAGCTCAGCAGGGCCAGCAGGGGAAGGGGATACGCCAAGGAGGAGATCCTACCCTACCACGACCACTGACTCCCTGCGTGATGTCCAGAAAGTCACTCAACGTCTCTGGGCCTCACATACCACTGGGAGCTATGCTTTCACGGAAGAGGGCGAAAAAGCATGGTAAAGACACTCCCCAAATTCATGAGGAGGAAGAAATGGGAAGGTGACTGCAGCAAGCGTCAAAGAGGACTTTACTTGTAACGTTTATTCTACTAAAAAAATTAAAAAACAAGACTTGAGGCCAAATAAACCAAAAATTCAAAAGTCAGCTGGAGATGGAGAGTCAGGTATATTAGGCTTCATATTCTCCTGAATTTTGAGAAGCCCTCATGACAGCCTACAGTTAGTGAGGCTGCACCCCGGGGCCTCCCCAGGACCCTGTTTCACAAGAGGCCCACCCCCGGCTCGGGGCGCTGACCCACCCAGGGTCAGGCGGGCTCGCGGCCCCGAGCTGGGAAGGCGGGCCGGCCGGGGCGGGGATGCTCACGCTCAGCCCAGGCTGCAGGCGGCCGTACTGCTCCGACACCCAGAAGCCGCGCCGGTCCTCCAGCGCGATGAAGGGCTGTTCGGGGAAGCGCGCGCGGAACTTGCTGAGGAAGCCGCCCTCGAAGTCGGCCAGCACGCCGTCCATGTCCACCAGCACCCGCAGGGCGCGGCCGCCCGCCCGGCCCGCCGGCCC